TTATACGGTGCATATTATTTTCTAAAAAAACACATCATTATGCGAATTCATCGCTAAACGAGGCACTCGTTAAGCGAGGCACCACTTGTATTAGAAAAGTGCTATCTTATCTCCGCTTAGTCTTCTTTTCTCGAGGCTAAACATGCCCAGTTTTTTCAGTCTTTCCTCATAGGGCTTGGTTTCCAGCCCCCTGATCATCCTTGTTGCCCTCCTCTGAACATGTTCCAATTTGTCAGCCACCTTCTTAAGTGTAGTGTCCAGAACTGGACACAGTACTCTAGATGGGGCCTAACCAATGGCAAATAGAGGGCAACTAGTACCTCATGAGATTTGGAGACTATATTTGTATTAATGCAACCTAAAATAGCATTTGCCTTTTTTGTAGCCACATCACACTGCTGGCTCATATTCAGCTTGCGATCTGTGACGATTCCAAAAACCTTCTCACTTGTAGTAGTGCTAAGCCAGGTATCTCCCATCTTGTAACTGTGTGTTTGGTTTCTTTTTCCTGGGTGCACTACTTTGCACTTATCCCTGTTGAATTTCACTCTTGTTTTCAGCTCCTTTTGATTCAGATTGTTCTGAATTTTGTTTGTCTTCCAGGGTATTAGCTATTCCATCCAATTTTGTGTCAGCTGCAAATGTGATTAGCACTCCCTGCACCCCCTAATCTAGGTGATTAATAAAAATGTTGAAGAGCACAAGGCCCAGGGATACCCCACTTGTTACCTTCTCCCAGCCATTAATCATCAGCTTCTCAGTAAAATTCTGTAGCCAACTGTGTATCCATCTAACAGTTGTTCTATCCAATTCAAACCTAGTTATCTTGCTGAGGTGATTAGGGAAGAGATGATTAGTCTGATTTCAAACTTCCCTATCGTGGCTGGTGGAACAGCTCTCTAAAAAGCTGAAGTCAAAGGCAGACATACACTTACCAATGCTGTGGAAATGCCATCGATAGAAAATTCTTTCTGGCAGCAGTTGCAATATTTTCTGCAGAAAACAAGTTTATCCACATTTTTAAATTGTACTGATAACAAAGTGGCTTCTTAATATATAGCTTATTTCATCTGTTTGGACAGGAGGTTATTTTTTGTTGGGTTTGTAAACATTAGCAAATAAATTATTTCTTCCATTGCTACGTTTTTCTATTGGCCTGGAAAGGATATTTTCACCAAAAGTATAAAGTCTATTAGAAACATTATCACTGACCAAAACTCTTACTGACCAAATCTTAGTGCAGTAAATCACACCAGCCCATTCAATCCAGGGGGATTGAATGAGTCAACTTCTCTGGAAGTTTAATTGATTCAAACGGGCCTTCTCTTACTATGACTTAGAGTAGGCCCACTACTGTGCTAAAATCTCAGTTAGAGTAGACTTATTTGAATCAATGGAACTTACAGAGGAGGTGAGTGTTCATTCTCATGTATGGGAACAAAATAAGCAAATATATATGTCCTATAGTGGACCATGAAAGTCTGTGTCTGTGTTGAAGAAAGCTGCAAAAGGAAAACCAAGTCAAACAATAAATTGCACTGAATGCTTCTTTCTACTAAAGGTGGTATGACCTTTAGTCATGATGAAACGAAACACCATGCTATGTGTCTCTCTCTCAATGGAGACTATATTGAGCTGTCAGTTTCAGACCAGAGGTAATAAAGAAGTAACACTCTCTACTTAAACTGATGATGAACTTTCTTCCTCTCCTATCCAGATGCATCCTTGGACAAAGGGCAGATTTTACAAAATCTTGACTCAATGTCACATTAAAAGTTTGAAGTGTGCAAGTTGTACAAAACCTCATCTTGTTGCTGTTGCATTGAAGGGCTCCAAAATAACACAGTTAACAACATGGAACTAAATATTTACCATTTAATTTCCCACATCTCAAGCTGACAGAAGGAAATATAGGCCTGAACCACTTTCATCTAACAAAAGGAAATGACTTCTCCCCATTCTGTACTTGGATGAAAAGTGAAATCCACACAGCTACTAGCATTTTATTTAGACTTAAGAAATGGCATAGTACAGGATATTCCATTTAATGCTTTACTACATTTATATGGTAATCCATTAGCACACTTGAAATATAAATTAGGCATTACATGCAATAAACACATCACGGGACCTGTCACTTCTTTTATCCATAACCCATTTTTCTTCAGATTACTACATGACTAAGAATAATTCTGCAACATAAACTTTGACTTATAGGCTGTTTTATATGTTTGAAATAAGCAAATTTCCCTCACTTTTTTGCTCACAAAATTTGAACATGTTCACTTCCTAACAGATTATATTGCTTTGGTTTTGTAGATAATTTACAGACACCTTCTGATGTTTTGATGAGGAGAATTGCAATAACCCTGTTACTGTCCTTCAGGAATACATTCACTATTAAGAATAACCACCTTGAATATGTTTATAAGGAAACCAGATGTTTAAAGAGGGTTCTCCAAATGAATTTAGGTGTAAACCTAAATGGACGGCAACCAAATGTGCCACCTAACATGTGTGGGGGGGCAACTAAAATGTGCAAACATATACAAATGATGTTTATAATTTGGAAACTCATTCTCTAAATATGTATAGATGCAGTGGGATTAGTTCAAATGATATTCTAATAGGCTTTTTACATTTATCAACTTCAGTATGTATAGTGGGTGATAGTGTCAATTCTATAATAATTTTCACAGAATGTGGATACTGTGAGACCATCTACTTTTGCTTCCTTGGGAAAATGTATTGCTATTCAGTGTTCCTTCTCCTCTGTTCCATCTAGAATTGTTTATGACAATTTCTTCCCTTGAAGCAACCGTGAATAAGGAATATGTGTAGGTTATGGCCCTGGGATGAATTCTTCATATTTGAAACTTAAGCTACTACAACTACATTTTGAGGTTTTGTTTGTGTTGGATGTTACCCAAAAAGGAAACAAGCATTCCAAAAGCTATGATAATTATGTAAATCCATTTTTTAAATGTGTTTTTCGAAACATCACTTGTAGTTAAATTCTGACTCCAGGTGCCAAGCATTAATAGTGCTAATTAACTTTTAACTAATTAGAACACAATATGGATGAAGCTTTTGTTCCTGCTGATATAGGATAAAATATGCCAACCAAACAACCAATTAACTTAATCTCCTATGGTTTGCCAATAAAGTATTTAATCTAGATGACATTTACACTGTTTATCTGTCCTTTATTTTCTGTGAAGGCTCTTAGTCTGGTTTATAACAGCTCTTTCCCAAAGGCCAATTCTGGTACTAATTAGAGGATAACACTTTTCATTATTCTGTTATTTTTTAATAATGGTAGAAATAAGTTTTCAAGTTATACATAATATTTTTCCAGATATAACTGATGAGTAAAATTTTAAAAAAACAGATGTGGCATAACTATACCAATAGTTACCCTACCCTGAAGCTTGTTGAAAGGAATAAAAACCACTAAAACTAATGCAGTCACCATTAACTTGACTTTAAAATCATTAGGCCTTATCTTCAAGAAATTACTATTCTTTACTAAACAACAACAATAATTTGTATAGGACCCGTTGTTGTTGTTTTAAAAAGCACATTAGAGCAGGTTTAAAGATAGCCAAAGGCTAGTAGAAATACTACTCAACACAGAGCAAGTGCTACTCTGCCAGCAAGGATGGTTCTTATATCATAAAATGCCCCCAATACTCCCAAGGAAAGTTCTACAGCAGTAGAGGCCCCAAAATAGGGCATGTCCCATAAGATCGTAAGCCTCCTTATCGTCTCTCCACAAACAGGAACTTAATTAGACCACCCCTGGAGTTAACACAGTTATCACAGCATCTGCTGGATAGCTCAGTGGTTTAGGTATCTGGCTGCAGAACCAGTTTGATTCCCCGCTGTCCCTCCTTGACAGAAACTGGACTCAATGGTCCATAGGATCCCTCCCTCCCATTTCTACAGCTCTAAGATTATTAGCAGTAATTCCTTCCCACTGACAGTAATGGGAGGAGGACATGATTAACATGCCCCTGGAAAAGAAGGTATGTGTCCTCCACACTGCATCCTGCAACAATGAGTCTTTCTTTGCTCCATTATAGGGTTGTTCTGTAAAACAATGCAAAAGTTGAAAGAAATACAACCAAGAAATAAAGCATTTCAAAAAAAATTCAGCCATTAGAGTCCTTGGATGGCAAAAAAATGTAGTTTTACTTGTATTGATAACATTTAACAACAACTTAAAACAAGCAAAAACATCATGCTAGAAGCAACAGTAGTTACAGAAGTAAAATCACAAATATATTTACAAATAAACACACTGTTGAGATGGACCAGGCTGCAGAGACACAGTGGTATCACCCACAAACAGCCCCACTTGTGGCCTGTGAGGTGTAGGTAGGACTCTTTGTGCCAATTAATAAATATCCTTGGAAAATAAAACAAATGAAGAGGGGATGAGGAGGATCCACTCTGTGGTAGCACAGGCTCAAAATCTAGAGGGAGGCTTCTAATCCCAATTCACACTGGAAGCATTAGAGTTCTTGCTGCAGAGCCAAATACTGTATGTTTAAATCACTTACAATCACATACAAACTGAATGTGGGAATTAGAAGCTCACTCGACACTATTTAGAATAGTGACAAATATTTAAACATCAGTTCCGTTTTACTGTTTGTGGGGAAAGACATGTTTCCCATAAATATTACTTGATCATTATTAACATGAAGAAACTGTAATGGTGAATATATAATGAAATATGGTAACTTACTTCAAAAAGAAAGAGAATGGAGTCCAGCTCCTCCCGTTGAGATTTATTCCCTGAAGGGAAAAGGATTATTTCCAGTCATTCTGCATAAATATGCTGTATCACTTTGATAATAAAAGCCCATAGGGCTGCCAGCTTTCAAGCTATGTGCAATCATAAATAAGCATGTGCACTGAAATTCATAAAGATGTTTAGAATGCACAGGCATAACTGTTGTACAAGAGCTTAGTATGAAGAAGCATTACTGCAATGTGACAGAAAACACAGGTTTTGCTTATAATTTTTGGCTCTTATTGTTTACTCTAATTTACAGACTGAGCTATATTTTAAGGACAGGAACTCTTCTGAAAACGGAAGTAGAAAAACAGGTAGAATGGGGAACAGAAAGGTATGCAGAAGAAACAAAGGAGATGATATAATACAGAAGGCTGAAAAGCAAAGGAGGACATTTAGGAATATTAAAGGCTATGTACTGGTGTTTCAAGGGGGAGGTTTACAAACGTAAGGGAACTAGAAAGGCAAGCACTCTTCTGGCTAAGATGTCAGGAGACCAACAACTTATACTGCACTGAAACATAATTAAAATGTACAGTATTCCAACTAATTAGTCAGATAACTGAGTATACAACTCTGATAGATGACGCTGGTCAAAATCCTCTTTCACAACTACACTAAAGGTGTAACTTTTGGAGGCAAACTGCCAAGTTACGAAATCCCTGCAGGCATTATTAGTTGCACACTGAAGTCACACAATCCAGCAATTCGTCTCCAAATGGTACACCATTTCTGTTATGCCAGCACAACTGGGTAAGAAGATTTTTTAAATTTGAGTCTCAAATGCCTTGAATGTTGGCTTATTATGCAAGCATGGTTGAGTGCAGGGAAATAACTTTGCTTTGAGACTTGTTAGTAGACAACACAACAAATGCTAGGGGGGCACAACAAATGCTAGGGGGGGTCCCACCCTAAAATATCAGTCATAACTTAATTATAGCAATGATCCTAATACTACTTGTTTATTTTCACCACAAAGAAGACATAATGATAATGACATTCCTCATATCCCTGACAGCACTATCAATCAATCGCCTTTAGTGTCTCTTATGCATCTATTTATCTAATCCCCTTTAATACCGCTCCAATAAATTTAAAAATAAACTGCATTGCAGAGCTTGGAAAAGTTACTTCTTAGACTACCATTCCCAGAATGTTTCACCGGCATGGTAGTCATGATGGCTACGAGGGAATTCTAGAGTTCAAAAAGTATTTTTTTTTTCTGAGCTCTGATAAGTATGATGAAGTATTCTCTCCTAAATCTAATGCCAAACAATATCATTGTGCAACCATGAGTTCAAGCATTATGCATCTCAGAGACATACAGTGGTGCCTCGCTTAACGATTGCCTCGTTTAGCGATTAATTCGCATAACGATGTGTTTTTTTAGAAAATAATATGCATCGCATAACGATGTTTCCTATGGGCGATTTTTGCTTAGCGAAGTTTGGGACCATGCTTCGCATAACGAATGCGATTTTAGGTCCCCTGCTTCACTTAACGATGTTTCTTTTTTCAATTAAAAAAGTGTCTTAGAAGGGTCAAAAACGGTTCTAAATGCTTGGATTCGTTAGAGGACCCCTTAAGTCATGTGCAAACCTGATTTGGCTTTGATCTGACTTTTCGTTAATTTTTTGTGAAATTTTTTTTTTGGCCTATAGGAACCAATGGACCTGTCAAAATCTGACAGCTCCATGCTTTCCTATGGGGGAGAAAACAATTTACAAAAAATTAACGAAAGTTCAGATCAAAGCCAAATCAGGTTTGCACACAACTTAGGGGGTCCTCTAACGAACCCAAGAATTTAGAACAGTTGCTGAGTCTTCATTAATTTTTTGTGA